TTCATCTTAACATGCAACGTTTTATAAACCCTGGAGTTATCAGACTGAGGGAATAATTATGGGTAGTCCATTAGCACCTGTTCTAGCTGACATCTTTATGAACATGCTGGATTATTAACTTAAAAGTACGGTTAATATAGGATTATGTTTTTTTTTGTCAGATATCTTGATAATACATTTGCGGATTTTATTTCTGGACAAATGGTTAGTAGAGTTAATATACTTTAAAAACAAAAGTTTTTTGGAAGAAAACACATATTGATTCTTACTTGAATTGGTCGTCAGCTCATCAGACATCTAAAAAAAATAAGATTTATAAAAACTTTATTGGCTATTGCAAAAATTAATTGCAGGTCAAAAAAAGTTGGATGAGGAAGTACATTACCTAAAAATGTGTTGGTGAAAAGGAATAATTATCCTATTAGTGTAGTTAAAAATACTCAATAACTGATAAGTTGACAGAAAAAAAAATGACTGTGGAGTTAACTAGAAAAAATTTATAAACTTCCAGTAGTTGGTAAATTTATTTTTTTACCAGGAAAAACGTTGAATACAATATTAAAAAACAGAATTCAACCAATAACAGTTGAGAAAGAGGTGTTGTGTTTACGGTGTAGAATCTACGGAATGTAATAATCTCTATATAGGGGTGGCAGGTAGAAATTTTAATACAATAATAATGGAACATGGACATGCATCCGTCACATGTCTACCAACATTTTAAAGATTCAGATTTGTAGTGAACATTGTCAAAATTATTTGTCGAGAACCTAATATTAATAAATGCAAAATAAAGAAAGATATTGTAATGAAGGAATACAAACATATAATAAATAAAATGCAAGGATTATAGGTTTATATTTATGTTAATGTCAAGGTTATGTTCGTGATGTCACCATTGGGTGTATTTAATATGTTGTGTTCAGCAATTGTGTAAAGTACCTGATGATGCCACGTTTAAGTGGCGAAACTTCGTTTTATTAGATATTTTTTCTATCCCATTTTTAGCTGTTTTTAATTGTTTTTTAAATCTAAAGTTTTAATTTATTTTAACAAGGCATGACCCTCAACTTCATATTTTTTAACTTTGTAAAGCCAAAGAACTTAACTCTTTATTGCAAAGGTAC